TTCTGGTCACCACACCTTAGAAAGGATATTATAGCTTTGGGAAAAGTGCAGAAAAGGGCAACTCGAATGATAAAAGGGTTGGAACACTTTCCCTATGAGGAACGGTTAAGGCGCTTAGGGCTCTTTAGCTTGGAGAAACGACGACTGAGGGGTGACATGATTGAGGTTTATAAGATTATGCATGGGAAAGAGCAGGTAGAGAAAGAGGTACTTTTCTCCCTTTCTCACAATACAAGAACTCGTGGGCACTCCATGAAATTGCTGAGCTGTCGGGTTAGAACGGATAAAAGGAAGTACTTCTTCACCCAAAGAGTGATTAACACTTGGAATTCACTGCCACAGGAAGTGGTGGCAGCTACAAGCATGGACGGCTTCAAAAGGGAATTAGATAAGCATATGGAGCAGAGGTCCATCAGTGGCTATTAGCCACAAGGTATGGATAGGGACTCTGGGGCAAGTGATGCTCTGTCATCTTGGTGCTTGGGGGGGGGGGTCAACAGTGGGAGGGCTTCTAATGTCCTGGCCCCACTGGTGGACCTCCTGATGGCACTGGTATTTCTGGCCACTGTGGGATACAGAGTGTTGGACTGGATGGGCCTTTGGCCTGATCCAACATTGGCATCTCTTATGTTCTTATGTTCTTATGTTCTTACCTAGGACATACACATCTGCCAGACTGTCTCTCCTGGTATATCCCAATGCACCAACTGTGGTCTTATTTATTTATTTATATCCCACCCTCCCCGCCAAGGCAGGCTCAGGGCGGCTTACATACAGATATAAAACAATTAAAACAAGCTTCTAGTTGTTTCCCCTCTTAAGGTGGCCTACTCAACATTTGCTTGTGCCTGCTTCTTTTCTGTAGTGGCCTCCACCTTGTGGAACAAGCTTCCCAAGGAGGGTCTATGTCACTGAAAGTCCTTAAGATTTTAAGCTGCAGATGAACCCTTGAACCATATTTTTGTTTTTAATTTTTGGGACTATAAACTTCCTTGAGCCACAAGGGAAAGATGGGGTATAAATATTATTATAACAAAATTTAAAAACTATGTGGTACTATGAACCACACTGATACCTGTAGATGGTCTCTTCACACATTATGAAGTATCCAGGCTTGGTCCAGAGTCATGTTCCCCACTACACCAGTGTCTCATGTAACAATCACATATGGTTTGCAGTTTCTCCTCAGTTCCTATGCATGTCATTCCCAATTTGGATTGTGAGTCTGGCACATGTGGAAAAGGGTCTTCAGCATTCACCCCATGTCATTTCCCGACCTCCAGTGGTCCTAGGATTTTATCAGATCAGGAAAATGGTGTGTGTGCGTGTGTGTGTGAGGGGGGTAAATCCTCTTCTCCACATATGACACAGTCAGGATCCAAATCAGGTCCTGCACACATGGGAATGAAGGAGAATCTGTTACCTGAGACATGAGGCCCTTGGACCCAACCCATGTATGCACATTTTTCACTTGTTGAGCAGGTCTTGATCTTGCATGCTTATCTAGCAGGTTCTATTTTGCATGACTAGGAGATCCTATGTTCAAATAAATGTAAACTGTTTCAGTTTGAATATTACCTTAAATGTGTGGTGAGGGGAGTGGGGAATAAATATACACCCTCAATTTCATCACACACAGAGATGAGGAGAAGTAATGCCCAAAGTGACCCACAACATAACCTGAACCTGTCAGGCATGAGAAGTAAACATTTATGTACAGGGTTCTTTGTAATACACCATGTAGTGATTCCTGCAATTAGAAGCCCCCTCCTCCCGAATATGGTCAGATGTATTAAACACACAGAAGTTTGGTCTGCTAAAGTTACCTGGAGCATTCTGATCACACTGCTCTTCTGCACTTGAGGATAATCTTCAAGTAGCCACTTGGGTGTCACTGAAACGAGCACGGTGCTAATCCTTTAAAATACAACGTTAACAATATTTGTCAATTATTGATCATGATTTGAATTCATGATTGGGCAAAATACTTCTTGCTTTTCAAGGCAGACTAAGGGCAGAATGACATGTGATGGGTACAGGCCCTTGTCTTCAGACACAGGTCACTTACAAAATGTGTAAAGCAGATGTGGGACTGGAGGGATCTTTAGCGGATCAATGGCAGGTGGGGGAGGGATCCAAGCTGTTTCTCCAGTCAGCACTCCCTCACTGCATAGCACTCCACTCTTCAGATAATTTTCTGCCAGCTGAATTAATTTCTAGTTCTGCTCACTACTCTCCCACCTCAGATTGCTTCACATCCTACTTTCCCACAACTGAAGTTATGAGTCAGCCACCATGTCATGTAGCTCTACTTTGTTTCAGCCTAACATCATTCAGAAATCAAAGCTAAGGGCTACTGTATCACCAATCCTAAACAAGTTTCTTGGTGAAATAAATCTTATTCAAATAATTTATATCCATGAGAAGGGAAAGGAGCATTCGAAGTTTCACTAGCTGAGGTGGTACAATCTTCTGAAGCTTTCATTTCATTTTTGATATGGGGGAACTGCTGAAAATATTGCCATATGAAAACCACACCTGTGGCAACTCCACCCCCAGATCATAAGAACTTAAGAGAACATAAAAGAAGCCAATGCTGGATCAGGCCAATAGCCCATCCAGTCCCACACTCTGTCACACAGTGGCCAAAAATAGCAGGCACCATCAGGAGGTCCATCAGTGGGGCCAGGATACTAGAAGCCCTCCCATTGTTGCCCCCCCAGCACCAAGAATACAGAGCATCACTTGCCCCAGAAAATTTCTATCTATACCTTGTGACTAATAGCCACTGATAGACCTCTGCTCCATATGTTTATCCAATTCCCTCTTTAAGCCGTCCATGCTTGTGGCTGCCACCATCTCCTATATAAGAACATAGGTTCTGATGTTCTTAAGAACATAAGATCCTCAGTTCAGCATTTTGACAGAACAGGAAATGGCCAGAAGCTACTGTCAACAGATCTCTGTCAAACTCCCTTGAGATGGAATGAACACTTTTGGTCAAAATGGCCACACGATTGATTATGTCAGAGGCTGTTTGTAACAGGATGACACATAAGTCAGGCTAGACAACATCTTTACTTAAATCCACGTGGTAACAATTTGGCCTACTCATACAATTCCATAGAAATCATAGAAATACCATTAATATCTAACAGGAAGGCTATGGAGCGGAAACTTGCATTATAAAATGACCTGGCAACATGAGGCAGGAGAATCCTCCTTGCCTGTTTTCAGATAACCCATTCTGGGAGTACTTGTTTGCATTTGTGCCTGCATGAGTTTGAGCTGGAAAAACAGAAAACTCTTTGGGATTTCAAGGGCTGATGTCGTTTGGTGTATAGTACTGCTGACTGTGTGCTTGCTTCTGTACCCCTGTGATACTCAAATTTAATCTTTAAATCGCTTCAATAGAAATGATTATCATCTTGCTCCATTGGGGGGAAATATACATGCAAACAATTACTGTCCATACATTCCTAAGGGTTGAAAAGCTTGAGCCAAGGCTAGGGAAGAAACCCCAGTCTGTACCTTTTCCTGAATGACTTCTTCGAGATCAAAGCCAAAAGAAAGAAAGATAAGAAGGCCACTCCAATGCCAATCCCCAATAGAACGCCAACATCATCATCATCTGTAAAAAAAAGTGGGGTTGGTGGGAGACTAGTCAGCAGCTTGTACCATAGCACCATTTTACACTACATTGTTATGTGGTTCCTGAATGGCTAGTGAGAAAGGGAAGCCTACAAATGCTTTCATAAAGCTAATATATAAATATTCAGGGTACCTGAACAAAAAGTTTTTACCTATATCATTTTCCATGAGTGCTTCAGGGGTAGTTTGTAAAACATTACAGATAATACAACACAGGATTTCATTTTGTATGTGCTTGGGTTTAAAATAACTTATCACATATGAAAATTGGAGATGTGATCTGTATGGTCCACACGCACCTCCATTCACACATAACCATATCTGAGGGGCAGGCTAAGTCTATAAGAGGGGATTTTCAAACTGTTCACAAACCCTGAACTTTGTATAGCAAAAGAACTGGTACGGGATAGAAATAAGCAGAAACTTCAGCTGATCCAAAATGTTGTGGCCAAGCTATGGTCAGGGGCAGGATACAGGGATCTCATTGCCCCTGTGCTAAAAGATCTACATTGGCTGCTCATTTGTCTCTGGGCACAATTCAAAGTGCTGGTAAACCCTAAGTGGCTTGGGATCAGGGAACTTGAAAGATTGCCTTCTATATTTTCCAGCCTGCAGACCATAACCTTGTTATCAATATCAGTTAATCTTTGCTTCAAACTACTTCTCCCTGAGCAGATGTCATCACTTTGCTTACCTTGTGTAACTGTCAGTCCTGTTCCAGTGGCTTACACAATTTACCCTTGAAAGACTCATGATGGGATCTACAGCCAATCTCTCTGTCTCAATCACTCCTTCCTAAGTAATCGTCCTCTTAAGTAGAATTGCCAGTTTAATTTCCCTCCACATATCTGAGGGAGTGAGCTGTGACTCAGAGAAGTCATTTTGAAATCAATGTTATTAACTTTTGTTTTATTTTTCAAATGAAGTTCCCAGTTTGTCTTCATATAGCACGTAAATGGCTTTGTAATCATGATCCAGTTGGAATCCTTATGACACCTCTGTGTAGTAGGTCAGTATTTTTATCTCCATATTACAGATGGGAAGGGGGTCTAAGGCTTATACTGTCAGGCACGGCCTACCAAACTCAATAGGTGGGCAAGTTAATGGCAGGAGGGGAGGTTCAAGTCCAATATTTCTGGATTCATACCTCAGGCTTCCATTGACTGTTTACCAAATGTGTAATCCAAAATTAATCTCAAATTTTGTTTATGTATCAGTTACTATGTTTTATCCCTGCTCTCAGCATTTTAAGGAATGTGTGTTCTATATGGCATTAGAGACACATGCTATCAGAGACTGGTTTTTATATTTTCAGTTGGAGGTTCCCATTCTCTCTTCTTCCCCCAGGTGCAACCTTATACTGGCACCAACAAGGACCATTTTATCTATTGAAATCTGCCTGACATTCTACAGAGGATGCAGACAAGATCAGGGCCTGAAACATCTTCCTCACCCCACCCCCTTTTTAAACATTGGGGGTGATTTCCCACAAGTGCTGCTCCGCGCTCACTCTTCTCTTTGGCCCGATGGTACGTGTCAATTTCACACAAGCTGCTGCATGACCGCATTTTGCCCCCAGCTTCGTGCGATTTTCCCCGCGTCTACTCAATCCTGTTTTTTGAGGATTGAGTAGACGTGGGGAAAATCGCACGAAGCTGTGGGGCAAAATGCGGCCACGCAGCAGCTTGTGTGAAATTGACATGTACCATCGGGGCAAAAGGGAGGAGTGCGCGCGGAGCAGCGCTTGTGGGAAATCACCCCCAGTTTGATGATAAGTTCTGGAGAACTCAAAAGCTTGGGCAAAGTTTTGTGTTGTTGTTGTCCTAATAAAAGGTATTACACATCTTTTGATTTTGAAGTCAAAGCTATGGTGTTGGTAGGATAGCCCAATGTGTAACACTGAGATTCTTCTGCCTTTTAAAATATTGTGCAGCCTAACAGATTCTACAGCTAAGGCATGAATTGTTCAACTGCAGCTTCTCTGAATCAGTTTTTGAGAATCTAGGCAGGGGAGGGTTCTTTCCTGCACTGTGTTTCTCAGAATTATTAGCCTCTATGTTTTAACTGTTACTTAACTAAGCACTGGGACCTGTTTACACCCTTAAAATATAGTTTTCTTTTTGCTTCTTCATTTGTAGGCTGGAACTTTATTACAGTAAAGGGGCAAAGTGGTAAACATAACAAGAACATAAAATTGAATCCAGTATCTTGTTTCCAACAATGTCCAGCAAAATGCTTCCAGGAAGCAAACACATAGAGCATCAAACTGACAGCTCTCTGCCAATGGTTGGTTCTCATTGGGATTGGATTGCACTGGATCCTACCACTGCACTGGTTTCCACCCAAGGACAGGATCATGTGGTTTCCCCTCTAGCGATCCAGCTATTCATTCAGTGCATCAGTGCACCACCAGCAGGGCTTCCACAGGGAAGATTTCCCTTGCTGTTTCCCTACCCCAATCCCCCAGCAGTAGCCATCCCCCCCTCCCCCCAGGCCACTGGAACTTTTCCAATATATATAATGTTACATTGATATAACAATGTTCAATTGCCAATTAAATACATGCACACACAATTTCTCAAATGCGCCCCCCCCATCTAAATTGGCAGATCAGGGCCACACTGACCCAAAATGAGTTGTATGATGTGTATTGTGTTTAATGAATTTGTTTTTAATGTGTTTTAACTTTTAATGGAAGCTGCCCTGAGCTTGCCTTGGTGGGGAGGGTGGGATACAAATTGAAATAAATAATTTTCTACAGAATTGGGGGACCCTCTAGGTTTGCAGAAAAATCTAAAATGTTATAAAATGCACTTGTGGGGGTAAATCCCCCCAAATTAAATAAAGCATTCTCTGTACATGGGCAGATAATGCATGTACCATTGAGGGGACTGGTGGTGGCTGCTGCTGCAGTGGAGAAGCCTGGGAGCTCAATGGCTGCTGCAGCAATGGATCCTGGAGCCATGCCAGACAAGCTGCCGAAAGCAGTGATGTGAGGAGAAAGCCTTGGCAGGCCACCCAGAGCTGTGCTGGGTGAGCCGCCAAAAGAGACATGTGGGGGGTGGTTTGTGGAGGAAGCAGTGCTGGGCAAACTGCGGGAAGCAACGATGTATGTGGGGAAGCCCGTTTGGGCCCATCCGGAGATGTGCTGGGTGATCCTCTAAGACCGGTGATGTGTGTGTGGGAACCTCGGTGGACCCTCCTTGAGCTGTGCTGGACAAGCTGCTGAAAGCGGTGGTGTGGGGGGAACCCTTGGTAGGCCTGCCTGGAGCTGCACTGGACAAGCCGCTGAGTGCGGTTATGTGGGGAGGGGTTGAAAGAATCTGTATTGGACCCTGCAGTGATGGTGATGGGGGGGGCTACTGGGGTGGGGAGCAGAAAGGGAGAGTGATGGAGTAGGGGAGAGAAAGAGAGTGATGACGTGGGGAGGCAGACACAGAGAGAAAGAGAGTGATGGGTAGAGGGGAGATACAGAGGCACTGGGGGAAAGTGTAAGAGAAGAGGTGGCAGGATAGAGAAAGAGTGAGAGGCAGAGAAGTAGGGGGAGAGGGGAGGACACAAAGGTGCAAGGAATCCCCCCTCCCCTCAAGGGTCCCCACTTGTGTGTATGTGTGTGTGTAAAATTGGCAATTGAATATTATTATATCAATGTAACTATAACAATACATGTAACAAGCTCTCTGAATTCCCAGATTTCATTTAAAATTATTTTCTAGTACTTTCAATTGCAGATTTATGCCTTTCACCTTAAATTTCCACAATGGAAAGGGGCTAGAGACTTTATTTCTTTAAAATAAATGCTAGGAATGTAGGGGCTCAGTTCCACGTGTTCTAGGGTTATATCAGTATAATGACATTCAACTAGGGTTATCATTTGCCTGCTGGGGGCAGGATATGTCCCACCACCAGCAGGCTCTTCTTCCCACTGCTCATCTGGGTGCTGAGAGAAAAATAGAGGGGGTGGGGAACAGTCAGCATCCTGATGCACTGACATCACTTCCAGCATGGCTTCAAGCGATGGACGTGTGTCTCTAGCAGTGCTCTAACATTTGGCCCAAACTGCTAGAACATCACCAGTGATGCGCTGATGTCAATTCTGGTTGTGCTGGAAGTGACGTCAGTGCATCACTGGCTAAATCATTGTATCACCAGTGAGGCGCCCACCCTGGCATGGCGAGTTTCCCTCCAGTTGACAACCTCTTGCTGGCAACCCTAAATTCAACTGCTGTGTTTTAAAGAGATATATACGTGTGAGGATAAGAGAATGAAGTAGACCACTGTGGGGCCCCGTTGGGGAAAAAGGCAAGTTATAAATGAAATAAATAAATATACAATTGGATGTATTCTAGTTTATTGGAATCTATGCCTGCTTTGGTAAACCTGCCCAGAATGATAGGAGCAACCTGTGTCCAGCAACCTGTGGCAAACTTCAGAATGTTAGTAAGACATAGTATACAATTCTTTCTCTCTCATTTCCATCAGTTCCAGTTGGCAGAGGGAAAGGTAAATCAAAGAGGAAGTTTATTCTTAGCACATATATTAGCACAAAGTGTAGATGAACTAAAATGTTTGGACATGTATGGTCATATTTTGGAGCCTTTCTCGTTTTCGATATGGCTGTAAGCTCTAGGTAGACAGCCACCTAACACCCAAGTACCTAAGTAACTACCAAACTACTTACCACCCTCTGGGTGAGGCAGCCATTGTACTGACAATTTTTTAAAAATCTACCAAACGAATTGAATACAGTTCTGGATTCCTCCACAATGTGACTGATCTAAAGCTAGATCTGTGAAAATACCCTAAACTTTCATTTCCCTAGAATAACGTCAGTGGATGTGGTTTACAGTTCCTAACACTTTGAGATGCCATCGCTAGTTGGTACATACCTCCCACAGAGAGAAACATCTCTCCCCACCCCAAGCCCATCATAGTCCTTTCTTACCATAGGAAACTGGAGAGGTGCTTTCTAGAATGTTAATAGCATGTCCATCTGGAAACTGTTTCACTGATAAAGAGAAGGAAAACGAGAGTGGCAGTTTGTAAGTGCACTATTTTAACATTAACGCTTTACTGTCTGAAGTGACTCAAAAGCAGGGTGTTTTTTAAAAATTAACTTTTATTACAGAAAAAAACGGTGTTTCACGTCATCCAGAAAATGGTCATTCCAACACATTATAACAGTGACTGTTTCATAACATATTTATCTTCCCCATTCAGCATCTTTTTCCTTTCCTTTTTTTGTTGTCAAGTCACAGCCGACTTATGGCGACCCTGTAGGGTTTTCATGGCAAGTAAGCCAATCAGAGGTGGTTTGCCATTGCCTGCCTCTGTGTAGCAACCTTGGAGTTCCTTGGTGGTCTCCCATCCAAATACTAGTAAGGGCTGACCCTGCTTAGCTTCTGGGCTATCCATATCAGCTCTACACTTCATTAATTCAGTGATCACTACTCTAGTCCAAATGGTATTATAAACAAGCATCCAGCTCTACCACATCAAGTAAGATCATTAGGGAACTGGTCATTTCTGTAATTACAGATATTATATCACCCCAATATTTCTCAATAACAGGACAATTCCAAAAAGTTTGTTAAAAGTCTGCCAGACTTCCCTGACATTGCCAGTAATTATTCACTGATGTATGATATATTTTTATATTATTTATGGTGTTCAGTACCATTGATATTGAGTTTTTAAGCCATTCTTTTTCAAGACTGCAGATATTAACCTTAGCAGCACATTCTCCCATTTCCATTTCCAATCACTCTCAAGTATCTTCTTCCCAAGATTTTCTAACAGACAACATCCTTCAGCACTTTCATCTGAACTATGCTTTGCATTTATGTCTATGTGTGATCTCTGTTGAGATACCCTATTAACAACAAGGTGAGGGAATCCTAAGGATGGTGCAAAATATCACATTAGTTGGTGCTCAGCTGAACCATGGATTCTGTCGATATAGTTGCTATTTTTATTGCAGTTTGGGGGATATACGATGTCAGTGTTGGGTCATTCCACATCTTACTACTAACATGAGAAGCAAGTATTTTATCTCTTTCATCCATGTAAGGTTAAGAAAATTATCATCATACCTACACAGCACAAGCTGTGGTCATGGTTGCTACAACATATGATTTATATGAAAGGCTAGCCAGCATCCTCTCTAGTATTGCTAATGGAAATTCAAAGTATCTTATTTTCTTAGAATGATATTCCATTCTAGACAGTGCAGTTGAAAAGCACCTCAGGTTTCCTGAACATGCCAATGTTTTGAAAACAAGAAAAATGTACCTCCCTCTCCCTCTCCCTCCCCCCCCTCTCTCTCATACCCTGCCCTCCCCACAAAGGCAGGCTCAGGCTTATATCTAGACATATTTATGCAAATTTAACCCAAATGTAATCAATTACAAGGGTTATGATAAAGTTGGCGTCTAGTGGCACCTTTAGCTAAAATTTCTTTAGCTGGGTGACAGTATTCAGTATACCTCGAACTGAGTCTGCAATAGCTGTCAATGGATATTCCATGTGGGTTACTGGCTCAAGATCACTGCCCTTTTATTCAGGGGTCTTCACCTCTATTTCTTGGTTTGTGGTTTAATAAGAGCTGTACAATCCATAGCATGAAGAAATGCGAAGCCATTCCTTCAGGCAACACATTCCAGAAAGGCTGTCTATATGAGGTATTAAAATAAAAAGATTTGGTCCAGAAAGGGAAACATCATTTTGACTTCTCCCTTTGGAAGAAAACAAACTGTAAAGGCCCTCAGTAAACAGTGGGATTTTTAGGTACATTCTCCAGATTTCCACAGAACCAAGTAGACTGAAAATGCCCTTAATGCTGTAAATGCTGATCAAGAAACATTCACCAACAACCCAGCAATGCTTAACAGGGAGATTTTGTTTAAATGTATATAGTTGTTGAAAAGTGGTGGAGTAAAATTAAGTTGGTAGAATTGCTCATGAAATACTGCCACCCTGTGGTTTAAGGGGACACAGCAAATCCCACAAGATTAGGCCAGCACGTCTCAAAGTCTATTGCAATATTCCAGTTTAGATGAGCCAAATAATGTATACGAATGAGAAACAGAAGTGTGCTTTCCTCCTTTAATTAGGGAGATTAGACTACACTATGTCACACTCAGTGTGCCGCTGCAATAAAAAAGACAAATTCTATGATGGGGATTATTAGGAAGGGGATTGAAAACAAATCACCCAAAGAGTAATTAACGTGGAACTCACTGCTGCAAGAAGTGGTGGCAGCTACAAGGACAGTCAGCTTCAAGAGGAGACTGGATAAACATATGGAACAGAGGTCCATCAGTGGCTATTAGCCACAAGGTATAGATGGAACACTGTGTCTGGGGCAGTGATGCTCTGTATTCTTGATGCCTGGGGGGGGGGTAACAGTGGGAGGGCTTCTGGAGTTCTGGCCCTGCTGGTGGACATCCTGATGGCACCTGATTTTTGGCCACTGTATGACACAGAGTGTTGGACTGGATGAGCCATTCGCCAGATCCAACATGGCTTCTCTTATATTCTTATATATATTTGCGGAAGCTAACTCAAAAGGCATACAATGTAACAGTCACTCCTTCCACAACAGCCTTGTACTTACATAGCCCATCTGAATGGCTTTGTATAGAATATGCCTCGCTGATTCCATCATGGTACACAGCATACACCAAAATGTTAAAGTAGCTTTTCATGTTGATGTCTTCTGAAAAAGATGACACTTTATTGTTAAAAAGTTGTGGCATAGTGAATTTAAGAGAGAGGAAAATCTACTGTTTAGTTAAGGGGAAAGGATCATGGCTAAAGCAGGAACACATAAATTGCTGAGTGCTGGTACAATAAAATAATAGTCAAAAACACTAGACTCTGTGATGAACTCTCTAGGTACTATGACCACCTGCTGCTTGGGCTCTGTCAATTCTGATTCCACTAAAAGCCAATGGCATCAATTTCTACTCCATGCACTAAGAAAGCGACTATTTTATCAGCCCACGGAGTATGAAGAGTGGGGACAGAGGTAGTTGTGCTCTGTCTTACCTGGTATATACGTTGTTGTGTTCTGGCTGGGGACTTTTTTCCACAAAATGTCATGTTGGTCATGACTCTGCCAACCTGCATAAGTCCACTCTACTATGTACCACAACACTGGTTTTTCAATGTATATGGGAAGTTCCCACATAACAGAAATTCCCTTCAGTTCATCCTTTATTTGCATATGGGTAGGGGGTGGAAAATCTACAGGGGCAAAACAAGAGAAGAGTGAATTTGAAGCAATTCCACTCCCAAGAGTTGGAGGGCCCATTTTGAAGGGGAAAGGGTTTTTGCATCTTGAAACAAGAAATACTCTTGAAATGAATGAGAAATACACAGACAAAAAGAATAATGGTATGGGCTGCTTATTCATTATCCACTGGAAACTCCTTATGAATAACGATGACTAATTTTCTCATTTTTATCATATATAAAAAGCTAATTTGGTACTTCTGTCTTGCTTTTCATTGTGCTCTGCCCTACTGTCCTCTAGGGAGCAGATCAAAAAGCTTAGTGTGACTCAGAGATGCACTGTTATTGTGTCCTCTAGCAGGCTCCATATAAGATATATGCTGCTGACTATTCCAAAGAAAGACAGGAGCAGGCCACTTTCACCCCTGGCCTGATTAACAATGGTGTGGTCCTGCCCTGGGGTGGCAACATCTTTCTTTCCTGTTTTGCATAGGCTGCGGGCACACGGGCAGGAAAATGCGGGGGGGAAGCGTGGCTGTTTGCCCCGGGGCTAAAAACCGTGCGGTTGTGTGAGCAGACCTACCGTGGAGGTCCTGTGGAGGTCCCATGGTAGGGGGGAGGTGCCGATAACTCCACAGTCCTGCGGTGCGGCAAAGAAGCGGGGCAAACGGGGTTGGTTTTTTAAAAAAAAACTCAAATGTGCGCATGCTCCCTTGGGTGCTTGTGTGCATCCGTGGAGACTTTGAAAAAAAACCCCTTTTTGCGAGGGGACATGGGCGGGCACCAGAACTACCACCGGAAACGTGATCAGACACCCACCCTTGCCCCGCGGGTTCAGGAAACTAGTACCTCCGAGGTACTAGTTTTTTACCGCGCATCTTCCAGGGGAAGCCTCGGGTTCGCCACGGGAGCTCGACGCTTCCCAGATGTGGCGGTGAGATTACGCCCGGAAAATCCGCCTATCTTCCGTCCCTCTAGTGTGCCTAATGCTCCGTGTGACCGCAGCCATAGAGCAGCAAAGGAAAGTGAGTCTCTTCCTGCACTCATCAGAGTGCTGTTCACCATTTTGAACATTTTGCTAGTCCAATATGGTAGCTGCAGAACATAAGAACATTTGTTCTGATTTTGTGAAAAGTCTGTGTTTTCATTTTTAGACCAACCCACTGATGAGGTTAAAGAACTAGAACCTTGATAAATTATCTTGTAGTGTCAAATTTCTGAAGTAAACTTCAGAATGAAGTTGCCATTGCTCTTTAGAGTTTGTTTTCCATGTGCACCCAAGTGTTTTATGCCTTATGTATAAAAATGAACTGGTCAAATGGAGAAAAATGTGATCTAATTTCTGTAACGAGAAGGACTGGTGAGCTGGATGGGAAATACCTCAAGGAAGAGCTGATTTACCCAAGTGAATCTTAAGTTTGGTTTAAGAACTTTGCAAGTTTTCTTGCACAGCCGTGACAATAAACAACAGCTATACCTAGCTTCTTTTATATATGTAAAATATGGATTGCTTTGTTGTACATTTTTATAAATATTGGACTGTTTTATAATTTTTAGTACAGAGCTCTTTTCTTTCTTTTTTAAAAAAAGTTTATTTAGGGATTTTTCTAATTATAGAACCAAAACCATACATATCTAACCTCTTAATAATACAGAGGATCACCCACCTATTTACAACTCGTATATAATATCTTAGAAGTACATAACATATTGTTCTTTTTGAAAAGAATACATTTTACCCAACCACTCATAGAATCTTGACCACAAATTTTCAAAAGTATTTTCATCTTTTTCTTTTAACAAAATTGTTAGTTTATCCATTTCAGCTATGTTTAACAATTTCTGTATACTTTTGTATATATTCTTCCCTTGAAGGTATTTCAACTACACAATCACACATATATTTCTTGAATGTAGTTATTGTATTACTTTCTACAATACAGGATTAAATATAGATTGATAGACAGATATAAAACCAGAATTGGAATGTATTGTTAGCTGTGAGTGTACAGATTAATTAATATTTAGAGGTCTGGTGAATGTTACCTGTTAATGTTCTGTCTTTTTTTGTATAGGTTACATTGTTTTACACATATTATATATAGACTTTCTCATATAGGAATGCATGCAAGTATAAAGCTCTCTATTTTTTAAATGCCTTGAAAGGCACCAGGGCATAGTGGCTTGGGTCCCAATGAAAATTGCCACTGCTTGAAGGATTTCCATTACTTTCTTACCTCCCTCTCCCGGAAATTCTGGGAACATCTAGCAACAGCATGAAGGTAGAGGTAGAGTCTGCCACAGGAGAAGGGAATTGGTGAAAATCATCACCTTTCAGCTGAAAGTTTATGTGAGCTCTAATCCATCAAAAATAATGTTTGGGTACATTTTGAGGTTTTCATCTTTTTTTTGTCCCCTGCATTTGTGCCCCCCCCTTCTGTGTAGTAGTTACAATGATGGGCTGAGGTGACCCAAGTTCAAATTCTCACTCAGCCATGAAACTCAGTGGGGGGCCTTAAGCCAGTCACTCTCTCAGTCTAACCAGGGTTGTGTTGCAAAGATAAAATGGAGGAGAGGAGAGCCATGGGGTTGGATCCAGCAGAAAAATTCTGCTAACCAAAGGAGGTGTGATGTTGATCCATTCCTTCCTCCCACAGCAGATTATTGACTCTCCTCTCATGCTGTTTCTAGGGGGTTTCCACCTCCAGAAACAGCATTCTGGAATGCAAAGAGAGTAGAAGGGGAGCAAGTCCTTCTCTGCTAATGGAAATCCCTTCCATAAGCATACATTTTCTGTGGGATTCATGCCATGGGTTGCATAGTGCAATCTCTCAGCAAAAGGCTGTTATCAATACAGATCTTTCTGGCATTCCTCTCTATTCAGCATTCCTATCTGACCATGAGAAAGCTGATTTATAGGGTTGCAGGATCCATGTAGACTAAAAGGTATGATGGTGAGGGGGTTGCAAAAGAGACAAAAAATTTCCTTTGTGCCTCTCCTATCAGCAGAGCTATGTTGATGAAACAGAGATAAGATTATTTCATGCTGCTTCCTCCTCTTCAGCATAGCCTTCAGCATAGCCCTAGGAATCACCTTTCCTGGGGTCAGAAGGGATTGTTGAAGAGTTGGGGATGCGGAAAATATCTGCGATTAGGCTTACCATTTGCCCCCTAACAGGGGGCAGTCCCCTGCCTCTGCCCTCAATCCTCCACTGTTGATAATTTCAAAAACAGGAGACAAATGGGAGGAAATGGCATTGATGGTGACATACTAGGAATTTTCCTAGTATCTATTAACTTTACCATAGAGATTAGGGGAAATTCCTACAGCATCAACTGGAAGTTATGTCACTTCCTCCTGCAAGTTCACCCTCCCCCTTGGGAACCCTATCTGTGCTCCTGATGCCCATGGATTGTTAGATTTAACTTGATGTATCCTAACTTGAGGTCTTTGGAAGAAGGGCAAGAGAAAAATGTAATAGGGAGGATTGACAGAAAGTTTATACAACTGAAACTGAGGTTATGGCATCAGAAGAAAGTAGGTATATTCTGTTATTCTAATTTGGTGGCCATTGTGAAGGCAGAAAGGCAGAATACAAATTTTGTAAAATAAAAATAAATGTATATGGTTTGCTGCAGAGGGTTCAAGGCTACTTACAGGTAGTAGGATGTATCCAACCATCTGCAGACCTTGTGGAGCAGGACATTTCCAATTACCCCTCCTACTGCAGTTCACTCAGCATCCTGAAATTTGTTCTAGGGTCAGCATACCCCCAGGTACAGCATCAGTGGCAAAGCAGAGGTCTGCAGTCAGAGGGGGGAGTTGCTAGAAATTGTACCTTCCCTCCCCAAGACTTAAATGCCATTAAGTAACTGTTGGAGAATCTCGTAAGAATTGGTATCTCTCTTTAATGAAATTTTACAAAACAATGTTCAGTTCTGAGCATTTTTACATACTATTATGACTTACCATGGTAATTAAAGGACTGTTGGTTCACCGTAATATTTGCAGGTTTGGAACTTCCTTTTGAATTCTGTGCTGTCACATAGACATAAGTCACTGTTGCAGGCACCAAAATTTTGCATTTTGTCTCTGTTGTATTACATAAACTCATATTTTTCCCTTGGTTTTCACAGAACACTTTGTAGCCCAGAATTTGCCCTCTGCTCTCTTTTGGATGAAATGGCTGGAAGCAATAGCAAAATAATTGCCTTTAAATATCAATATTATTTTTGCTTTCCTAGCCAAACAGTTTAATAGTTGCAGGATATATTATCAGAATGTGATTAAACCAGGAGCTCCCTATCTCCTGAAGTATATATCACATACTGATGTGTGCAAGGGTAGATGACACCCATCTGAATGAAGAAAATCCACTTTCTCTGCTGCCCTTTCATATTTCTAAACTGTACTGCCCTCCTCCACTGGCTTTCACATTCTCACATAAATCTACCTTATGCTCAGTCAACCTTATGGTCCGTCAGAGTTGCTATTGTCCACTCAGAGCTCAGTGGTTCTCCAGGGTCTCAGGCAGAGGTCTTTCATATCACCTCCTACCTGATTCTTTTAACTGGAGAGACAGGGGATTGATGCTTTATCGCTGAGCCATAGCCTCCTTTCCTTTTCTGGGTTTAAAATTATTTGTGCTAACTGGAAAGCAAGAATTTTTTTTTTTAAAAGCACATACTGGATATCTAAATTATATAATTAACCATATATCATGTAAAGTGGCAGGCCCCATACCAATAATGAAAACAGCAAAACTGGACTACCCACTGGCAAGGGAGGGGTCTCTCTATACCCAGTGATATAAACAAAACTTTGTAAATCTACCAAAAGAATGGAAAAAACTCAAGAGTAGGTGGGTGTCTATTAAATACTGGGTTCAAGATGCATTGCAGTGAACAGCTCTACTTTATTAAGTGATTTCAGGAACAAGACTAAAACACCAGGGCAATAGCCCTGTTTAAATAGCATGCAAAAACCACAACCAAACACACCCAACTCCTGATAGGCTATTTACATAACATTAGTTTCTCATTGGTCACTTCCAGAGTCCTGGTGGGCTATTGTTCTAGAGCTCCAAGCTCAGCCAGTCTCTGGTAGATAGTCCTGGAATGTTCCTGACCTAATACATAACAGTATCAATCAAAGGTTAAAAGGGAAAGAAGAGGAGGCTAACCTGCTGAAGGCCCTGACAATTTATAGAATCCTGGATGGGTAGATTGTGGGGTGCGGTGATTGCCACATTATTTATTCACTCTCACCTGATTCTTCATATGAACACATGAAACTGCCTTATACCGAATCAGACCATCAGTCCATCAAAGTCAGTATTGTCTACTCAAACTGGCAGTGGCTCTCCAGGGTCTCAGGCAGAGGTCTTTCACATCAGCTTCTACCTAGTCCTTTTAACTGGAGATGCTGGCAATTGATCCTGGGACCAGTGCTCCCTCTAAGCTGTGGAGTCTTGTGAGCAAAAATTCTACTTTGTGAGCTACTGGCATTGAAGTTGTGAGTGAGCGACTTGGCTTCTGCATAAATTAGTTTGCTCTGGAGCCATCCTTCCTGAGCTGAGACAAAAATGTGTGAGCCAGAGGCTAAAAAACTGTGAGCTAGCTCACACCAAGAGGAACACTTCCTGGGACCTTCTGCATGCCAACCAGATGCTCTACTATTGAGTCACACAGCCCCTCCATCATGATTTTATAGTTTGCACAGATCATAATATTCAGTTATAATAGTTGCAGTGTTACTTATTAATGACAGATGGTCTAGGTTTACCCATCGTAGGCATCCATCATAATATACTATTTCAGCTTCCCCAAATCTTGTTATATACGATACTTTCGCATATTTTATTGTTATATACGATACTTTCCCATATTTTAACTTGCCCCGGGGTACTGGCCATAATTCAGTACATGCTATGTCATTTATTAGGATCTCTCTAAAATGAGTTAAACTGAACTTGGAACTATTCTGAATTTACAGTTCTTCTAAACTGTAAATTCTAAATACAAAAGCATTTCTACTGGGCATAGAACAGGTCTAATTTTAGCTTTATAGTTATACTTGCCCTCTTCGGGTATCATATTTCCATGATCTTTGATTTGTGTCTTAAAGGTTAATTAATTAAAGATTAATTATCGTATGGTATTGTGTGTAGAGTAGCCAGGGGATCCTGAGATTGTCTGGCAGCTGCAAGTTCTAGCTCTTAGCTATGAGCTAGGCTTGTCTTTAGGGGCTGAGAGAGCTCTGAAAGAGCTGGGACTGGCCCAAGGTCACCCAGCTGGCTTCATGTAGAGGAGCAGGGAATCAAACCCAGTTCTTCGATTAGAGTCCACCACTCTTAACCACTACACCAAACTGGCTCTCAAGATAAATATCTTAAGGGAACCCCAGAACAATCCTATTCCAGGCAGTACCATAATGTATTCTTCTATAAATGCAGCAAGATGTAGAAGAAGAAGAGTTGGTTTTTATACCCCACTTTTCTCTACCTGAAGGAGTCTCAGAGTGGATTACAATCTTACTTTCCCTTCTTCTCTCTGCAACAGACACCCTGTGAGGTAGTTGGGGCTGAGAGAGCCCTGAGAGAACTGTAACTGACCCAAGATCACCCAGCTGGCTTCATGTGGAGGAGTGAGGAACCAGACTCCAGATTGGAGTCTGCTACTCTTAACCACTCTACCACACTGTGTAACAGTATAGTACTGTAGTAGGATGTGCATATTTATGCCTCTCTCCACTTGTCTTTTTGCAGTGATTTGGCCTTAATTTTTTTTACTTCAACATAAATATATTGTGTACCACCATTCACCACTTCTTTATGCTTAAATAAAGTTTGGGGGTAGGATTATCATTTTAGTAACTGCCAGTTTAGTAACCTTATAGTTGTCCTCAAGCAGTGTATTCAAATAATACACAAACTGTTTTTGTTTCATTCAATAATTCTATATACTAATAGCCAAGCTGGCCAAATCTTTGGATACTTAAATCTGGTGACTGGAGCTGTGAACAGGCAAGACAGATCTTTCTAAAACCTGAAAAGGGCCCCAGATTTGAAGAAACATTTGAACTCTTTCAAAAAAATAATTGTGAGGTTTAAAAAAAAAAACACAAATGATAAAAGGATCACCTGTAGCTTTAAGCAATGGATTCCCCCAGTGGCGGTTGCTAGACAACCTCAGTATTCCAGGCTGGGTTTCTGAGGGGGAAAAGACAGGGAGGAAAGGCCAGGATCCTTTCCAGGCCTATTTTTGCCTTTGAGGGAGAAATCATTGGGGCAAGGCCAGACTAGGATTGCCAGCTCCAGGTTGGGAAATTCCTGGAGATTTTGTGGTAGAATGGGGGTTGGGGAGGCCTCAGCTGAATATAATGCCATTGAGTCTACCCTTTGAGTCCAAAGCAGCCATTTTCTCCAGTGGAATGGAGCTCTGTTGTCTGGAGTTCAGTTGTAATACTGGGAGACCTCTGAGTCCCACCTGGAGGTTGGCGACCCCAGGCCTGGCAGTAACCTGTGGTGACTTGATACCAGAGTGACTTGCATCACTCAGCTAGGCCTGGCTGCTTGTTGCTGTTCAGTAGCAGCCACTCTATGAAGGCCAGTGTGGTATAGCAGTTAGAGCTTCAGAGTAGTCTCAGAAACCTAGGTCTGAAGCCCCATCTGTCTGTGGAAGCTCACTGGGTGATTTTGGACCACATACTTTCAACCTAACCTACCTCACAGGACTGTGGTGTGCATAAAAAGGAGGAGAAGAGAATAATGTAAGGTGTTTTGGTCCCCCACAGTGCAGAAAGGTGGGGTATAAATGAAGTAATTAATTAATTAATATAGCTAAAGATGTGAGGCAGATAAAAGGTAGTTTGGTGAATAGTTGAGAAGGAGAGAGTGAGGCAGGGAAAGGAGAGATGATTTGAGGGTTGCCAGGAGGAGGAGAAAGAAGAAATAGTGCGGAGAGAGGGACAGAGGGGAAAGTGAGGTGCCCCCCCCCACAAGCCCTTGAGGGTTCCCTGCCATGCCAGTGGGCCTGGCGCAGGGGCTGGCACCACATTTTCCAAGTGAAGGCTGTGGGGGGGGGGAGTGAAAGCTTAAGACTGAGAAACAAATAAAAGTAGGTTGGCTGTTGGATGGGAAGGAGATAGGGTTGTCAACTCCAGGTTAGGAAATTGCTAGAGATTAGGGGGCTGGAGCCTGGGAATGGTTGGATTTGAGAAGAGGAGGGACCTCAGAAGGGTATAAGGCTACAGACTCCACCCTCCAAAGCAGTCATTTCCTCCAGAGGAACTAGGATGGCCAGCTTCTAGGTAGGGGCTGGAGATCACCCAGAATTACAACTGCTCTCTAAATGACAGAGATCAGTTCCCCTGGAGAAAATGTCTGCTTTGGAGGGTGATCTTTATGGCATTATACCCTGCTGAGGTTGCTTCCCTCCCCAAACCTCACCCCCAAATCTCCGGGAATTTTCCAACCTGGAACTATCTCTGTAGTTAGGAGATCCAGTTTGATTCCAGGAAGTCCCCAGACCTTACGTGGAGGTTGGCAACTCTAAAAGCAGAGAAGGAAGCACGGAAAAGGGAGAGCCTATGGGGGCTTTCAGGAAAGGGACGGAAAATAGTGGGGGAGTAGAAAATAAGAGGCCTTCTGCTCGTACTTGTGGTTTTCCACTTGTAACTTTATTATACTCCTAAATGGTCATCATGAATAAATAAACAGTTTAATATATTTTCTATCTTGCTTTTATATCTTGGTTACATATCTCCTAATTTGATCCTATTGGTATAGCCAAAAATTCTTAATGATTGTGACTCATATTGGGAGATAGAGGGCACTATCATCAAACTCCTCAAGACAATAAAATTGGTTGGGATTAGCTGCCTGTATGAACAAAGTAGCCAGATTATGATATAATGGTTTGAGGCAAAATACAAATTGATCTGCTAGTTCAAATGTTCCAAATGTAAATATAAAAGGTCTGTTCAATTTCATCACATTTTTTTCATGGAACCAAGAAAACCCAGAAAGCATGCATTAGACCCAGACCATGGAGTTCTGGATCCCAAAATTCTGGTTACCAAAGTGGAAGTGTATCATGTAATCCCATGCATTGTTTGTTATTTTTCTTGCCTTGTCACCCAAGGTCTCTGCTTATACTCCTGCCTTGGAATAAATCCTGACAGAGT